TTGGTGGGAATCGGCCGGTGTGATAATAAAATAATATATATATATATATATAATATATATATATTTATATATATATATATATATATATATATATATATATATTTATATATATATATTATATATAATATATATATATAAGATATTTGTCGATGTTATTCATAAAATTCAAGACTAGCTAAAAGGAAAAAGTAATTTCTTATTCGTTGTCAAGGTAAAAAGGCAAGTCTTCATTCTGGCGATTTTTTAGCTCCATATTCATCTTCATCAAGTCATCATGACTTGATAAAGATCAGCACTGAGGGAACGGTCTTCGGGACTGAGTTCCTTTGCACACTGCTGAGTTTCTTCAGAGATCCTCACAAGAGACGGTGAGGAGAACTTGTCTTAGGATCAAGGCATGACTGGCTGATAAACATGGCGCTTACGTAAATAGGGAAACACTGAAGTGGAACAATCACAAGTGTTGTGCCATAGGAACCAATGTTGGGCCCCACATAACGACCTACATAACGTAAAAAAAAAAAAAAAATTCGCTGACGACACAAAGTTAGGTCAGCAAAGAACAACAAAAATCTAGAACACTAGAAACTTTAGGAAAATGTTGATAAGTTAATGTTCTAGTCGTTCAAGTGTGAGATGCAGTTCAATATAGACAAATACAAGGCATTAATATAACAGATAGAAAATAGTTATATCACATATGAACTAATCAAAACCCGGATACAAAAATGATTGGGACTTCACGTTAACTGATATGTGAGGCAGGGTAGCAGTGCATATACATGTTCGTAAAAAAAAAACCATAAGCTGCTTTGGCTTCTTATCAAGAATTAAATATCGAAAATGCAAGGTTATACTACAACTCTGTAAAATTATTGGTAATGGCTCGGTTAAATTATGTACAAATGAAAAATATTCATATAAAGAGTCTATAAGGTTCTAAATATCTAACCAAGGTTAAACTCAAAACAATGGATTCATTTTAGAAAATTCAGATTTCGAAAGGATATAGGACAGCACTGGTCAGTCATTGAGCTTTAGATTAGTGGAAAAAAGCTCCCAATTAGAGTACCAAAGCTAATACTTTTAGTAACTAAAAATGGAGTTGAACTTAAACCTGAGACAATATTTGAATGAGTAGTGCTACCTAACATTAGCAGCAGCAGCAGCACAGCAGCAGCTGCAGCAGCAGCAGCGGCAGCGGCAGCGGCAGCGGCGGCGGCGGCGGCGGCGGCGGCGGCGGCGGCGGCGGCGGCAGCAGCAGCGGCAGCAGCAGCGGCAGCAGCAGCGGCAGCAGCAGCGGCAGCCAGCCAGCAGCAGCAGCAGCGCAGCGCGGCAGCAGCAGCAAGCGCGGCAGCGGCAGCGGCAGCGGCAGCAGCAGCCAGCGGCAGCAGCAGCGGCAGCAGCAGCAGCAGCAGCAGCGGCGGCGGCGGCGGCGGCTGGCGGCGGCGGCGGCGGCGGCGGGCGGCGGCGGCGACGGCAGCGGCAGCAGCAGCGGTGACGGCTGCGGCAGCAGCAGCAGCGGCGACGGCAGCAGCAGCAGCAGCGGCAACGGCAGCGGCAGCGGCAGCAGCAGCACTGAGTTACCTCACTGAAAGATAACTTTATCAAAGATAAGATAACTCTCCTGTAAATTTAAAACTTTATTTTTTATTATTTGAAGTTGGGTTAGCTATACCTACAAAAAAATATTTAATCGCAGCTTCTCACTAAAAAGAAACATTAAATTTTCATTTTATATATGTATTTTTTAAAGGGGTTGACCGGTTAGCCAGGGAAAGGCCTCGGTCAGATGACCAAACGCTCCAGCTGAAGGTCAGGAAGCACTTGTCCTGTTTCCTTACAAACCTTACCTAATCTAAACAAAAAAAGAAAGCAAAGCAAAGCGGCCGCGACACGTCTGGCAACGCGGCGGCTAATCAGCCCCACAAAACGTTAACATCTGCACGAGTATCACTGGTGGGGAATGGGTTGGTCGTTGTTATCACCCATTTGGCTGGGTTAATCGTCTTCTAAAGCATTCCTGTGTGGAAGTAAACACTGGCTAGGCTGGCTGGCCTGCTCGTCAGAGACCAGCTGCAGCTCGACAAAACTACTGATGCAGCCGTCAATTAAGACACCAGTCCTCAACCTACATTGTTCATTTTGACACGCTTTTTCGGGCGTCTTATTTTTGAACGACCTATGCTAGCCACCACAATGGGTTAATTTAGGTTACTTAATTTATTTTAACATATCCCAAACTTACTTACTGTTTATGCAAATTAAATAATTTCGAAAGTTTACCGGATATGTACACCAAGAGGTGTATATCTCAGCGTATACTGCTGAGAAGTAATCCCTATTGAGGGATTAGAGCATTCTTGTCTAGTGGTGAATTAGGTTACGAACAGCCTTAATGACCCTATTGTAGTCAATAGGCTTTAAATCTCATTACTCAGCCTACATTTTTTTTTAGAATTTTACCCCTATGAGAATAGGCTGTGGTAATGGGTGAATGTGGTGGGTTAGTGGACACATAATTAACAAGTGGTGGTTTGGGCGGACTTATTACAATTAACAACGTGGCGGGTGGGTGGACCCGTATTAATTAACAAGTGGGGGTGGGCGGACCCGTATAATTAACACGAGGCGGGTGGGCGGACCGTATAATTAACACGTGGGCATCGTTTAGACGCCCACGTCCCTTCCTCACCCCGTGTACCCTAACCCCACACACACACGCGCGCACTGATCATAGTAGCGACCAGCGAAGAGGCGGGGCCAGGAGCTAAGTCTCCACTCCTGCAACCACAATTAGGAGAGGACACACACAGTTGGAGGCGGGGGCAGGAGCTGAGTCTCGACCTCCGCAAACAAATCGACGAGTAAAATACAAACAAGTATACGGTGTGTACGCGCATCTTGATAACGCACACACTCGCATTTAGTCTTGTCCCTGGAGTAACAGGATCAGTGACCTATCTCACAAGATGCGCTGTGGTCACAGTGCGTTACAAGAGAGGTATCGCCGGTATTACAACCCTAGTCCACTGAACCTCAACCGTGCAAGTTAACCGAGGATAACTCTAAGGAAAGCCAATCCGTATGGTTTATTTCCTCTATTCTTTGATCTTCTTTCCTTGGGACGCATCCCATAACAGCCGGCTAACACCCAGAAGCCTTTCTCCTGCTAGGTGAATTGAGGCAACCGTTTTTACGGAAAAGAAACTCAAGGGTTTGAGTTTCTTTTCTATGGTTTTCAGTAGTGAGGGGAAGGTGGTGCAGTTGAGCCACCAGTCATCTGTATGTACCTCAAAACCCATCGAGAGGACAAGAGGAGCTGCGGCCATAATTCAACCCTCCCAGGAGGTCAAGGGAGCTGGAGATTAACACAATCGATGGTTCAACACTCTCAAGAGGTATGGTACCTGCAGCTTAACATCCTCAAAGGCGCAGGAACAATTGACCAACACAGCCAAGAGGCGCAAGAGTTTGATATCAGCACCGTTAAGAAGCATGGGAGCTGGAACTCCATCCAGTCCAACACTCGGTTGGTTCTGTTGGCACCGCACTCGCCTCACACGCTGAGTGTCCGTGGTTCAATCCCGGCATGGGTGGAAACATTGGGGAGGTTTCCTTAAACCTGTTCTCCCTTTCACCTAGCAGTAAGTACCTGGGTGTTAGTCGCATCTTGGACGACAAGATTAAAGGACCCCAATGGAAATGAGACAGGTAGTCATCTGTGACGCACCGACTTTCTTGAGTGGCTAACCCCGGATTAAAAATCCGAATAAATCTTATATGATCAATCAGAGGAAACTAGGCTTGCCGTATCCGTAGAGTTTTTAGATTTATTTTCGTTGCTACCTTGAGTACGAGACTCAATGCAGGGAGGCTGTTGACTTCTGCACGACCCTGGGTACCAGTAAATGAGAGTTATGAAGGTCGTGGCACTTGCTCTCCAACGCAAGACGTGTTAAACTCTGCAAGAACATAACATTTAAAAATACATTTAGAAGCTCAAATAAGTTCAGTTTTCTGATATACTAAAAGATAGACAAAAAATACCTCCTAAAGTACTAGGGGAAATTGTATTACAATTTCTGTGATTTATAATTTAGACTAAATGATGTTCATTTATTTTTTCAGCATGATACAACAATTGCAACAATTGTAAACACTGAAAACTTAAGGCCTATGATAAAGATTTTTTTTTAGTTACCGTGAGAAATCGGTAATTCGAACTTTATTTTTAAAAGCCTAAAATTTTTAAAGCCTATAATTATACTGAATATTATTTTGTGTTTCATACATCATCTTTGAAAGTTTGGAGTCGTTCAGGTTTTCGCCCGGAAAATATACCACATAAGTTTTAAAATAGATTACAAAATGGACACCTACACAGTTCAATAATCCGAACTTTCCTTTCAGTAAGATACCCAACAATGAAAGTTTGACGTCGAGCAGAAGAGGCATTTTTGTTTTCGCTCGGCAATAGATATCACAACATTGTCATAAAATTACCAAGTTTGAATTTACACAGCCCAGTAAAAATCCAAACCTTCTTCTTAGCAATGTACACCAGCACTGAAAGTTTGAAGCCGTTCAGAAGTGTTATCAAGTTACATGGATAACTTAGTGGATAAAAAAAAAAAACTAGAAATTCTTTACGTCTCTTCTTCAAGGGATACCTAATGTTTGACCAAAAGTTTAATTTACGTTTCTCGCACCGCCTGTATATTTTTGTATGTTAAAAGCGTAAGCAAATGTATAAAGAAGGCGGTGGAGTGTTTAGGGTGGTGGGCGTGCGACCAGCTGGTGGGCAGAGGAGCTTCGGTTGGTGGTCGTTATACTGGCTCTCAGCGACTCTCCGCCACACTCCCGGAACTCTCTCACTCCCACAGACGTACTCTCCTCTCACTAGTGCAACTGCCTCCACGGAAACCACTCTCATAGCTCAGTGGCAGAACGTTCGCCTCACAACAGAAAGGACTCGGGATCGTACACAGGGGAAGGGAGACGTACGGGCAAGTGTCCTTACGCCTGGCGTCACAGTTCACCTAGCAGTAAATAGGCATCAGGGAGTTAATCGGCCGTTGTTAGTCGCATCCTTACCTTTTCTGGACGATCATGGGTTAATAACCCCTCCCCAAAAGTCAATAATTAAAAGAAAATCTTTTACACTTCGTCAGGGGAATATACTCGCAGAACAATGTTATTTCCTTATATAGAAGAGCATAAAACAAATAACTGACGCGAGCGATGAACTCATCGGCCAGTAACGTATCTGTGATAGTGATACACAATCATCTCAAACAGATTAAATAATCTTAAAAAAAAAACTATTTTTTAAAGATCATAAACGAGTGAGTCTTAGAATGACATTTTTTACGGCAGTAAATCCATGCATCAGGCTGTTGAAGCTGTGAGAGTGCCAGCTTGAGTGACCTTGCATGATACTTCAGAAAGGAAATAAGGTGAAGATGTTATGAGCAGTGAGGTGCAGGTGACACCAGTCACGAGGACAGACTACTGGAGATACACATTTCATATCATTTGAGAAGGGCAAGAAAAGGTAAGTTATATATACCTGGTGCTGTTGAGTGGGGAGGACAGGCAGTCTGTCGACCTGCTCTCGGTGGTAGAGTTGAGACGACAGGCAGTATGTCGACCTATCCTCGATGGTAGAGTGGGGAGGGCAGGCAGTGTGTCGACCTGTCCTTAATGGTAGAGTGGAGAGGGCATCCTCAATGGTAGAGTGGAGAGGGCATCCTCGATGGTAGAGTGAGAAGGGCAGGCAGTGTGTCGACCTGTCCTCGATGGTAGAGTGGGGAGGGCAGGCTGTGTCGACCTGTCCTCCATGACAGAGTTGTGATGGAAGGCACTGTGTCGACCAGTCCTTGATGAATCCGTCACTGCAGTTGTGCCACTGTTGATGTATATATTGCTTAGAGATGCACTCTTAGAAGTAGCCACTGATAAAAATTCTTGATCGGACAACAACTTAAAGTTTAGTTATGTGTTATTGCGGTGCCAGTTGATGGTGAATGTCATATTGATGTTTTAGTGGTGTCAGTTGATAGGTGAGTGTCATATTGACATTACTAGTGATGTCAGTTGGAAAAAAATGGCTAAACATATAAAAGAATATTAGGCACTTCCATAAGCCAACGGCATTATAAGTCATAGATTTTTACAAGACTGTTTCTAAGAAATAACATAAAAAACTTTAAACGTTAAAGAAATTAACTCCAAGACAGTAAAATTATCGTGATGTTTTACCCTTACGACCTTGTGTACCTTTCTTGGCCTGAGGGAGTATTTGTTATGATTTAACAAAGAGATGTTCATTCACTGATAATAATAATTGATTTTGATAAAAAAAAATCTGTTCACTCATTGATAATAATCGTTGATTTTGATAAAAAAAATGTTCATTCGTGTAATAATAGTTGACTTTGATAAAAATCTGTTCACTTATGGATAATAATAATTGAATTTGATAACAAACTGTTTATTCACTGATAAAAATCGTTGATTTTTAGTAACGATTAGTTCATTCTATATTGATCCATCGCACAAAAATTCAGTTTCTCCTCAGCTTATTTTGCCTCATGTTGAAGAAACTTATAATACAGTGGTTGTGTAAATGTGACTGTCGAGCACCTCGCCTGGACACAGGCAATACACGGAGGGAGTCTGTTGATGACTGTCGAGCACCTCGCCTGGACACAGGAAATACACGGAGGGAGTCTGTTGATGACTGTCGAGCACCTCGCCTGGACACAGGAAATACACGGAGGGAGTCTGTTGATGACTGTCGAGCACCTCGCCTGGACACAGGAAATACACGGAGGGAGTCTGTTGATGACTGTCAGCACCTCGCCTGGACTCGGAAATACACGGAGGGAGTCTGTTGATGACTGTCGAGCACCTCCCCTTTGGACACAGGAAATACACGGAGGGAGTCTGTTGATGACTGTCGAGAAACCTTTCGCCTGGACACGGGAAAATTTACACGGAGGGAGTCTGTTGTGACTGTCGGCACCTCGCCTGGACACAGGAAATACACGGAGGGAGTCTGTTGATGACTGTCGAGCACCTTGCCTGGACACAGGAAATACACGGAGGGAGTCTGTTGATGACTGTCGAGCACCTCGCCTGGACTCGAGAAATACACGGAGGGAGTCTGTTGAGGGACTGTCGAGCACCTCGCCTGGACTAAAGGAAAAATACACGGAGGGAGTCTGTTGATGACTTTTCGAGCACCTTGCCTGGACACGGGGAAATACACGGAGGGAGTCTTTTTGATGACTGTCGAGCACCCTCGCCTGGACTAAAGAAATTACACGGAGGGAGTCTATTGATGCCCGTCGAGCACCCTTGCCTGTATCTTTGTGGGGGGTTCCGATACGTGGTTAGGGAAAAGAAATACTCACGTAGGGCTGTTTTAAGTATATTGGCGATATGTGGAGAGAGACCTGCCAGCCGTTACCTATCTCCTTGCTACCACTCGATATACTGGCTCACCGGCTGCCCAGTACCCAGTGGGTCTTTGAATACTGCTGAGGTTCAGCACAATATGAAAGACGTGACTCAAGAGACGGTTGATCGTTGAGTCAGACGGTAATGGTAACTGGGGTTACTACTACTGAGACGGTTAATGGTTACTACTACTGAGAGCTCGGCGACGCTAACGTATGTCGTCCCGACATACAACTAATACAAACTAGAGATGGTAGGTATACGGCTTGGGCTGATTCTATTACAATGTCAAAGTACACAAAATTAAACATTAAAAATACATAAGTAGAACAATGGAATGAAAGCTTACGTAACTGAAAAGTAAATGCAATACAAGGTATACGATAGTACAACTTTAAAACTCAAAAAATTGAACAACGAACTCTACTTGAGAAATACAAGTATTAAAAAAAAATTTTGATCGATCGATCCTGTATTCGTGTGATCTACGGATTCTGAGGAGGAATATATACAAAGAAAGAGTGTTTAACAGAAAGGGCAGATTCGGTGCACGAAAATTAGACTGTTAACTCTCAGAATGCGGGAGGAAATGAACACAAAAAAAATTCTTGAAAAATGATAAGTTGATACTGTAATTATTCATCTATACAGGTTATTTACATTTAACCCCAACTCTGCTAGGGTAAGATTGGCATATGCAGATTGGGTGTCATCTCTGGGGGGATCAAACCCTCTGTTTGCATAGGCTAACTCTTGCTTGTTATTTGAGGCAATCTGAATTGGACAGTTACAAATGATACTTGTGGATTTCTAATTACCTGGTCGTGTACGAGAGGGAATAACGACATTCAGGTTGATGTCCTACACTGACTGAGTTCAGAGGTACGACGAATTACAAGGCATACTGGAGATTGTCCAGAGTCGGTCACTTTAGTCAGGGTTGGACTTCATATCTTCACATACTACTTCATATGATCCAAATGCGATTCTTTATACTGACCAGTTACTTAATCTCTCCTAATCCTCTTATACTTATTTCCAGTGATATGTTCAACCTAACTCCTATAAGGGACCTAAAACCTACTTGATCAAGCTTTGGCTTTGCAGACGTTTTGTTAAAGTTGTCAGCAATAACTCCGAACCTACTTTGATGTTGGATGGCTTTGATCGACGTGTTTGCGTCTCTTGGAATTCTGCTGTCTGATTTATGATGTGTTTCTACGGGATTCATTCTAAAAAAACACATTGATGCTATGTGTGTACGAGTTGCTACACGAATGCATCAGGGTTGTAATTTGCTTTAGGATTAGATTTAACAACTCATAAGGCATACGTTTATCACCACAGTTACATTGCATAATGTGGGTTGTGTCACCTATAGGGGATACATTGTAAGCCAGAATTTATAGCAATACTGCACATCAGGTATAAAATTTCACCCAAAGTTTACACTATGGGATTGATAGTGGCTCCTCAAGACTTCAAGTACCTTTTACTTATTTGGTTCGTTCCGCTAACCCTTTGAGTGGAAGGATGTTGAGGACACAATGGTAGGATTTAGTGATATTGTTACCACAGGTACACAAATTTTCAAGAATTTCATTACAGAATTCACCTCTTTATCTGTTACATAGGGACTTTGGGGTGGTATGACTGCAGATAATGCGTTCTTTTAAAACGCTTTAGCTACTGTTCGGCAGTCTTAATTGCAATTGGAACTAAATTCGCAATTATCGGTGTAATGGTTCTACCATAACACACTGTTGTTTGTGTTACCTTGGAGGGACATTATGGATAAATTAGTTTTAACAAATATAGCCAACTCTTTCCCAAGGTTCAGCTTGTAGTTGGATACATTGGATTGGATTAGGACCATTAGCATTGCCTTTATGTTCTGCATGCAGGACACTACATTTCCTATCATACTCAGAAATATCGGTTGCCATTACGAGGCCAAAAGTATTTCAAATCTGGCTTGTTTTACTGAACGATCCCATCAACTGTGGTGTGCAACACCTGGTACATCGTGAAACTAGCTGTAAGGCTACATCTACTATGACTGTGGAAATTACTACTGGTGTGTATACTCTCTGCTTTGGAGTAACCAATCGGCTGTTCGATTACAGTAATTCTTGGTTCATGGAGGAAGTCATGATGGGTGCTGGCGGCTTCAACAGGCAGAATAAGATCTTTCCTGGAGCAGGGATCGAATCTCTACAGACCACATGGGATCTGTTCGTTGTGCTTCTTTACATCTTAAGCACTAATGAGTGGGTCTGCAGTTAATATAATAAAAATGTCGCGATAAGGCATCTGAGACTACATATGACTTGCAAGGTAAATGCTCAAGGTGGGATTGTACTCTTGGATGTCAAGGTCCATCTAGCTAACCTTAAAGTGGTTGTTTGTTCTGTGAATAAGGGTATCATGTGGAGCATGAATCTGTTAAAAGTCTTGAACAGTGTAACGATTAAATAATGTCTCGGAAGTGCTTTAAAGTCCATACTATTGCTTATGCTTCTTGCTCAGTTACGTATTATTTTATCGTTTCAGCCTTCGTCCTAATAGGTCGAGTGCTTGCATATGCAACTGAGTCTGTATTGCATCGGTTATTCTGACGTTGTACGGCACCTATGCCAATTGAACACTCAGAATCTGTTGTCTGATTAGAAAGGCTTAGAAAATCTGGATCTTTTCACAAAATTGGAGCGGAAGTCTTAGATTTTTCTTTTAGAGTTTGGACACCAACACCAATGCTATTCTTCGAAGGCAAGGTCCTAACAGAAAGGAGCCTCTTTCGTAAGCAACATCAGTTAGTCAGCGAGGGAGTTATGGAAGAAAAATGGCAATGATGATCTATTATAAAAACCTGCTTAGCCCACAAAGGATATTACGGCCTATCAGCAGTTTTGGGACGTTGGAAAATTTAGTTACTGCAGTTACTTTACGTTGGTCACCGTCGTATCCCCCTCTAGGACAGTGATTCGTGACCATAAGAAATCTTATTTTCTGATCTGAAAATATGTCATTTTGGCAGTTTTGATCTTTAAATTGGCTTCTTACAAGGCGTACCAAGTATCTACATCAAGC